TATTTTATTTTATTTTATTTTTAGGAAGACATCTGAAAAATGACTGTTTTAATGCTATCTAAAATGGTCTCTTCGTTTCTGTGCTGGTTTCGGTTAAAACAAATTCTTTTCAGTGATTTTACTTTTCAGTTCAGTAGCTTTGAACTAACTGCACTTTCTGAAGGTAACAGCAGATTTTCACAGACAGTGTCTGCTTCTAGAAGTGATAATGCTCACTGTTTAGAAATACTACCAAGGACTGGTGTGCAGACCAATGTCACTGCTAAATCTTGTGTACCACGCTGGGGGTGCAGAAAGCAAAAGGCCTCACCTGCAAGGAGGAGCAGCCAGGACAGGGGACCCTAAACTGACTAGTGAGGTATTGCAGTCCACATACATCATATTTCAGTACAAAGCTGAGGGATCACAAGGGTCCCACTCTCTTCTTTAAATGTCCAGCGTCTGAGGAGGACTCTATCCATTTTGTCTTCAATCCTGATCCATGCATTCCTGAATCCAGTTCCAGAATCCAGTTCCTGAATATGGTTCCCATCTGCCACTGCGTCCAGTCTGGGACCTCCCCAGAGCCTGCTCTACCGCATCAGTGGTGACAGTGATGTAACTGCCATCAGGGAGGTTTGGTTTGATATTGGGTTTGTATATAACTGTATATATTCCATTTTGTTATTATTATTTTCATTAAAGATGTTTTAATTTTATTTTCCAGTCCATAAGCCTCTCTCCCTTATTTCCTTTTTCTTCCCCTTTGAGAAGGGAGAGGGGTTAACAAAAAGCATTTGTTATAGTTCTGGTGGATGGCCCTGATCCTGAACGTTAACAATTACTGAAAAGTGAATAGGTAGAAGGATGAGAGAGACTTAGCATACCTTTGAGCAACAAGTTTTGGCATGAGTTCCTCCCTCTCCAAGATAGGGATGAAGGAACTAGTTAGTCTAACTAACTAGTCTCCAAATTATCACTCTAAATTATCACTAAGGTATCTCTGGAAATGAGAGTGAAATGAAATGTCTCCTCTGACAAAAGCACCAGTGGTTTACAAAAGAAGCAAGCCATCTTCTCAGGAACACTTTTTGGCACATTAGAGACTTCCAGATCTTAGTTGTTCCTGATTGTATTCCAGACAGGATGCACTTTTTTCAGGTGTACCACTGGAGGTCACTCATGTACTAATAAACAGCACAGTACTGGCTGCTGCAGGGAAGAAGGTGATATCATAAATCATCCAAAAAGGAACTCAGTTTGAAGCAAAGTTTACTTTAAAATGGGAATGGGTTGAGAAATGCACTGTATGGATATTTCTCAAATTTACAGTAGAATATAATAAAACTAGCAAGTAAACTAATGATTTTTAAATTTTTTTGTAAAAATATAAAAACCCCAACATTAGCAAGCCAAGTTTGTTTCAATCTAGCTACATTAGTAGTGGAAATGCAGCATTTCTCTTTGGCAAAGAAAGCAAAAAAAGAAAAGATAACCACCTATAAAAATGCTCACTGAAGTCACAGCTGGTGTGAGAAGAAATTGCAAACAAAATGACATGTAAGATTAGAAAGTGATGAAGAGTTTTCTCACTCTGACATTTCTGATAGTAAAGAAACAGCAGGAAGATGTAATAAGATCTATTTATATTACTTGCTTCCTTATCTCTACTTTCTGTTAATCCATTTTCAAACTTTTCAAAATCTGGGCATGCCTTTGCTAAAATTATGAGTTGTCAAGAAAATGTATGGGTTAAAATGTTTTCCCTTTTGCCCCTAAACTAAGATTTCAGTATAGATTTCCTGCTTTGAGATGAAGAATTAAAAAATGTATGATTTATTTCAAGAATATCAGTACAACATCTTTATCCTAGCCAGGCCACAACTAGTTACTTTACTTCAAACGCAAACTGCTATTGGGTGGTAACTCTCTCCCTCAGGCTCCAGTCCCATCAACATTCCTATAAATATTCCCACAGTATGACAGAATCAGTTAAAGTCAGACAGATACATATCTTAATAATTAAGGTATTTCTTTGACATTATCAGGAAAAAAAAAAAGTTTCAGAGCAGATTATTCACCTGCAGAAGAGGAGATGTGGCATTTAGCACTTGTACAATATTTTGTGCAGCTCTGTATTGCTCTCTACTTTTAACTTACTATTTATACAATGCTATTTGAGGCTGGTAGCTTACAGAGGGCTTCTGCAGCTGCTGTGTCCTGCTGGCTGCTTCCTGATTGACAGGTTCTTTATTTAAAAGGAGTTGCATGTTCAGTAGTTAACTGCCTGCTGATTAGGGGGTGCTGGACTGCTTTTTGCCTGCTATGCAAGGATGCTTGTTCAGGTGGGGTATGGGACTACAGCAAGCAGAGCTCTGGTAATCTGTGCAGGTGAAAGGCAGAAACTCTCCTTCAAACAGTGTGGGCCTGTGCAACACCAATGCTGATGAGCTAGTGGGCCTGATCTCCAGAACCAGTGAAGAAGGTACCCTTGGCATGTCAGTGGTGATACCCTAGGGAGGTCTTGGGCAGGGGGATATTGTGTCTGTGTCTCATAGAGCCATGGGTGATAGGTTACTCCCCTGTGGGAGGTGTGTAGTGGTCCAAGTGCTGTGTATCAGCACTTTCAGAAGGAGGTGTGCACACTGTTCACTGTTAAGGAGGGCAAATAGGAAATCAGCAGAGTCTCCACAGAGGTGAAAGCCTGAGCTTGAGTTGGAGGGATGTCTAGGGGCTGTGCTGGCTGGAGTCGTGGATGGGGACTTCCCTGACGGAAGCTGCTGAAGTTCATGGCTTTTGGCAGCAGGAGAAATGTTACTTCTCCCTGCTCAAACCTGAACACAGAGTGTTGGTATTAAGCCTTAAAAGCCATGGAAGGGGAACAGATGCTGCCAAGGAAAGCCTCAGAGCAAGCTGTGCCCAGCTTGAGCATCCACAGCAAGTGGTAGCAGTTGGAGATACCCTTCTGGAGGGAATAAAGGAACCTGTCTGCTCACCAGACAGGGTATCATGGGAGGTTTGCTGTTTGGTAGATGCCTGGTTACTGGGTGTTGTAGAGAGACAGCCAAGGCTCACCTGGACCCCTCATTGCTCATCAGTGTGACCATCAGTAATACTGCTGAGGAACACTTAGAGCAAAACAAAAGTAACTTCAGAATTCTGGGTGGCAAAGGACATGGAAACACGGAGGATGCTCCTTCAACCTCTATGGGAAGAGGTCAGGTAGGACGGGACACAGTCCTGATGGGTAACAACTGGTCACATGCATGGAGTAAGAGTATCTTTGCCAACAGGTGTACAAATCTGGCAAGGGAGACTTAAACTTGATACTTCGGATGGTGATAACTGCTGACACTAAGGAATGGACTTCCTCAGGTAAGGTAAATAGGGCAGGGTGATGGGAGCAAGATACCCCTTGGGAAAGATAAAACAAGTCAAAACGGTCTTAACACATTAAGTATATTTATACAAAAAGACCCAGCCTGGGAAACAAAAAGCAGGAACTAGGAATTGCTCTGGGTGCAGATGCAGAACTGTGACATCCCTGGAAAAACTGAAACATGGTGGGACAGCTCACACAACTGGAGTTCTCCAGTGAACGAAGGGCTCATTAGTAAAGACAGAAAGGGAAAATGAGGAGGAGTGTTTTCCTCTGTGTGAAGAAGCAGCTTGAATGCATCAAGCTCTTCTATATTATGGACAGCATGTTTGTGGATCAGCAAGGGTATTAATGTGGCATAGTTTTGGGAATTCAGTATAGAAGCACTTCCTCACCCTAATCAGTTGACAGTATCCTTTAAACAGGTTAATGAAAGCTAAGGGTAAACAAGAAACTTGTTTACATGTTTAGTTGTGTTTAACCTGTTTACTTGTATATAACTGCAATACACACACACAAAAAGTAGTAGTAAACAGAAAGTGAAAGTGAAAACAGACTACAAAGGAAGACTTTAAGAACACTGTGCAGGTATACGAGGAAAGCAAAATTCAGTTTCACTTCAAGCTGTCAAGGGGAGATTTAGGGCAACAAGAAGAGTTCCTACAGCTTCTACATGAACAATTAGAAAAGCAAACAAACCAACAAAACAAAACAAAACAAAAAAGAAAGGAGAAAATGTAGGCCTGTAATTGTTGGTCTGGTGACAGGGGACACAGACAGAGTCTAGACCCAGTGCTGCCTTGGTCTTCAAAAGTGAGACCCCCATGACTCTGTGCCCAGAGGCAGGGTTCAAGGAATAGACAACTACCAGTTGTGGGAGAAGATTGAGTTTGCTTCTGCAAACTTGTGAGGGCACAACTTCTTGCCAACTACACAATAATTCTGTACTGAATTCAACAGCAGGCTATCTGCTACATGGATTAAAGAAAGTCGTTGTCAGACTGCACACTCTGAGATCATAAAAGTTTCAGAGAGATATATATTCCAGACAGAACAGTGACATAGATGTTTATTCAAAGTATCTTAACTCATACTTTTCTGAATAAAAATTTTGCAGGTTTACCATAATAAATTATTTACTCTGCAATTTCCTTTTTTTTTTTGGCTCTTAGTAGCTGTATCCAATTACTCTGCTTCCTTTGATTCATCCTCCTTATCCTCTAAACTAGTAGTTCCTGTGGAGGCAAAGGAAAGACAGGACATAGAGATGCATTTTGTTCTAAAACACTGGAAAGTAATCCTAGTAAGCTAAAATATAAATCTAGGGCTATGCTTTCTACCTCAGACCTCCTTCCCCACTACTTTTCACTGCCAATGCTTGAATTTAACTGCTATATGTTGTTTGTCAGTTGCCAGACAGACTTGGTACACACATACTGACTGCCAGCCAGTCCATATGTAACTCTGGAATAGCTAAAGAATGTCTCCCATTTAGACAATATCATAAGAAATGTGGAGCAAGAAGGATGGAATTCTTGTGTGGAAGAAAATCTGATGGTAATGGGACAGAGAATATAAGGCTGCAAGAACAGATTTTGTTACATCTGCTCTTCACAGTATACATATTTTCTTCAAATCATTTCTTCTTACTATAACTTAATCTTGCTGAATATAAAGACAAGAGGAACAATATGTTGCTTAATTAATAATAGATGTAGATCTATGCTGAAACATGTATACAATCATCCATCTCTTTAATTCTAGAAATGAAGAGCTGGAAAAAACTTTGAAAACATCTATCACATTCACATGTTTTCATGCATTGATATATGCATCTATGTGGTCCCTGACAAATACTTGTGTCCATTTGTTATTTAAAGAAAATAATACAAAAAACAATGGGGATAACAGAACTGCTTCATTGTGGTAGACTGGAAAATTTATTAGAATTAGGTTCAGTCAAAATGGTTATTTGAGTCCAAGAGACTTTGAGACAAAGCAGGGTCAACAAACTTTTGCCAAATCCAAGGCAGAGCTATGCAGGAAACCTGCTGAGATATCTGCTGGATCTGATCCAAGCTCAGGGACCCGGTACAATGTCAGTCCTACAGATCAGCTAGCTGGCTAGTCTGCCCTGGAGCAGAAGAGCACCTTCAGAGGTGATGAGTAAAAAATGAGAGCAAATAAACTACAAAAATTCTGAGAGATGACCTAAATGTCTAGTCTATAACTCCAGGCATTTTTACATGGTTTAATAGTCTTTGTGATCCCTATGGATAGTGCTTGGCTATGATTTACTGTAAAATGGACTGATTACAAACAGATAAATTTATCTACTGTTTTCTTATATCAGATATGTAAGCTTGTAAACATTAACACTTAATAAACACAAACAAGACCTTTGGGTGGATGCCTATACACTAAATATGAGAAAACATAGATGCATCATTTTGATGCTTCTTAGTAATTTTGTATTTAAAACAGGGTTCTGAACAGCCTGGAAGAAAACCTGAGCATCTGAATTCCAAATCTCTTGGGTCTGTAGGAGAAACAAATCGGTCAGAGACTGTTCAAACCATCATGCATAACAGTACCTAAAATTTGTTTCTTCAGATTTCTTTTGCTTCTTTTTAACCTCAGCTGAGAGAATAAGAATACACAGTTCCATTCATGAGATAAAAGTGAAGCGCACAACCCCCCCTGAATTGTCCAGGGTGTGAAAACTTCTTTCTCATTTTTGTACAAAAAAAAGTTTGAAAATGTAATCACTTAAAAACTCAGCTCTGCAAGTACTGTCGACTATACCTGCACAGATAATGCTGCACAGAAGTGTCAGTTCTAATTAGTGTTGTTACAGCATATGAACTGGACTACACAAAGCTAGTTTACATCTACATAAGACTGCCCCCTTCTGAAAGGTAGAGATACTCATGGTCTCCTTAACTTGATAATGGACCTCGCAGAAGCAACATAACTTCAGCTGATTGGCATACACCATTTCAAACACTGATTGCTAATTGATGAATGAGCATGCATGCCCCATTCTTCACCTTGATCCTCCTGATATTTGTTTTCTTCTTCTTCTTCTTCTTCTCTGCTTCCCTCATTTTCCTCTCCTGCATCCCTTCCTTGGCTAAAAACTTCACTGGATACTTCATGAAGAGAAGACCTATCATTGCTTCCCTCAACAGACTCATCAGCGGCTGAAATACAAGAATTAGAAATACCAAAGAAAATTAATTTTACAAATTTGCACCCAACCATTGTTTCCATCCAGTAGCTAATAACTCTTACTGAGTTCTTCAGATTTTACTTATATGAGAAATCCCACAAAAAATTCTGTAACTGTTTATAATCAAGTTTGTATAACATGCCATGTTATAGACTAAAATGATTCACAGGCTTTCCAAGACAGTTGTATCTCACTATGCTTTGTGAAATAAACCAGTCACAGGTATCTACCATGCAGTTTATGAACAGACTTGGCATTTCCTAACATTCAAGATGCCGTAAATTATAGGGGGAAAACAAAAACAAGCAAGCAAACAAAGAAAAAGACCCCCACATCCTTTCACACCACTTGATACTAAAGCTGAAAAATGTGGTTTCAGGGGATAGTGAAAGCATGGAGTTTCCAGCTGTCCAGCAGAACAAACCTGCAGTTGATGGTATTTTCTCCTCCTCAGCTACTGTTGCCGCTGCTCCTTCTTCAACTGCTTCTGCAGCTGCTGCTTCCACTAGGGAGGCTCGTTTGGAAGAAGGTGGATTTTCCCCATGGGGAGTCCAGAGTGTTAATTTGGTAATTTCTGATGCTTTCCATTTTGGTTCAACAAATGAGTGTTCCTCCTCTTCTTCTTCTTCTTCTCCTTCTCCTTTATCCTAGAAGACAACCCAGCTGAAATGCAGCACCTCATTTTACAGTTATTAAGGGAAGAACAAACATGATGGGTTTGTGTACTAAAACCTCTTTATCTAGGCTCCAAATGGCAATGGCATGGCCTTTTAAAGTATTTGCAGGTGGAGGAACTTCAGCAGCCACAACTCTTGAAAGAGAAGTACACTTTGAACCTTGACAAAGTCAGCTGACTTTTTTTTTAACGTGAAGTTTTGTCTCTCCTTTAAAGAGAATGGCTGTGTGATGCATGTCAAATGTCTCTCCTCTTCTGTGCCTGTGTACAGTACAACAGTGGCAAATAAGACATGCTCTGTCTGGGAGATGCTACATTGTCTATCTCACACAGGAACAGGGTGGCAAAACAGCTCTCTTTGCCCCAAACTTTGCTTAGGGTAGGGAAAGGATCTAGGAAGCAGCAAGGTACTGCACAAAGCTTATGGTTTTGAAATTTTAAGATAAATCATGCTCTATTTTATCCATATATGAAGGAGTCTTAGTAATGGAATCCTTATATGTATTGCAAGTTAATTTCTTCTTATTATTTTTTTATATGGGCTTTGTTCTGCAATTATTCAACTAGAGCAAAGAGGCAAAATTTGATCTTACTTTAGTGACAGCACCGTCCCTTGCTTTAGACAGTTACTACAGCATTCACATGAGAAGACATTATTGTTCCTGAGAACAATGATTTTCAGAAGTGGAGTGCTTAACCTTAGGTTCTTAAATTCATGTTTAATATGCCTATATCTGTACATCAGATAATTCCCAACTGAAGTGAGGATACTAGATACATACCACTTTGGATGCTCATATGGATTTAATACTTAATTTGAGGATTTTGTGCTTTTAGCCAAAAAAGGCAAAACAGTCTCCATATTTTGCAAATCTCTATCACTAATGATGGGAGTTTTCAATTATTATTTTGCCTTTGTTTTAAGAAACAATTGCTGCATTGGAGAATTTACAAGGAGTGTCTAATGGGAATAACTGTGTCAGACAAGAAGCAGCAAACTCTAAGTTATAATGTGGCATATTTCCTTGAAACCAAACCAGTAATACTAAGATATATTTCTTATTTCTATAGCTATTTTGCAGCATATTAATCATAAATGTTTCAAAATATTTGTGCATGAAGGACAAGGAAAAACAAGCCCTGATCCCAGCTGCTGCCTACAATTATTAGAAGCTGTGGATATCAAGCTCCTAACAGGACCGGGACAACAATAAGACTTATTTCCAAAACACAAATCCATTGGGAATTACCATTTACATGTATAGCATAAACCAGTTCATAAATATAAGAAGAAATATTTCTCATTGTTTAAATATATCTACGTTATTCTGTGTTTTGAGATGTCAGATGTTTTGGGAAGATACTAATTCTTATCTTTAAGCAGAAAGGACTCTTGTCTGCAAGTGGTGCAAAAATCACACCTTGTACTTGTCAAAGCTTACACAGTAGAGAAGAAAGCAAAACGAAACTTCATTTACTTCTTTAGAATGCATGATTTTCTACCCTTTTTGACTTGTTAGAACTCCTTTAACATCAGTGTCTGTAAGGCATTTTATAGATTACTCAACAACAGATTTAATTTACTGATTTTTCGGATATTCAGTATCATTTTCACTATTTCTTTTACCTGCTCTGATTGTACGTATTCACCATGCTGTTCACATCCAATATCAAAGACATATTTGCCATAACCTACAGGCTGAACAAAGATACAAAAACCTTATCAGGACTATAAAGTTAGTACAAAGCACAGAAATGTAAAATATGCTTTTACTACAAAATTCATAAAACAGTCAATAACAATATAGTTTGAAAGCACAGTTGCAGAGAAACTTGTTATTCTACAGATTAATTCAGTTTCTTATATTACACTTATAGTACAAGAAATACTACAAAAGATCAGGAGTCCAGCTTTTTATTTTAAGTGAAAATAGATCATATTACAGGAATTTAATGTTAATTGTTCATATTAATAGAGAGTTTTCCAGCACACTTACATATCCGTTCAAAAACTTGCCCTTAAATCTATGGTTTAGGTGGATAAGTTCAGCATCGCCTTCCTGGTTTCCATTTACCCAGCCGCCAACATACCTAGAACCTGTGTCTTTATAGACATATGTACCTTGCCCGTGCCTAAGAAGAAAACAAGAATTTTGCCTTGTATTACTGAGTATTAAGAATTTAGGATGTTGTTATACTTAAGGTATTAAAACTGTGTGATTTAAGTAGCTGAAATGACTCAAGCTGCAATAAAGTGCCAAGGTCATCCAGTAGCACTTGATTTGCTGCAGTCAGCCATGCTCTGAAAATGACCTCTGCAGTTTAGTGCCATTGGGTGACTTGAAACATCACTGTAAGAATGAAACAAACCTATTGTGGTTAAGCCATTCTCCAGTATAGGTGTCTCCATTTGCATATGTATACTCTCCAAAGCCATGTCTCTGATCATTCACCCAGTCTCCTTTAATGAGAATACAATAAAAACAATGCTTTATTTCATTGTGTGATATAGTGGTTGGTTTGTAAAGATATACATGAATTATTAGAGAAGGAAAACAAAGCTATGACAGCACTGTGATTCTTTGCCATTCCTTACATCTTTCTTTACTCTAATTCCTTGTGCTTCTTCCTTCTGCCTTTTCCTCTCCACGCATATTTATCTGACCTCCCTTTCATTTTGTCCATCATGGCCTGTCTCAATTATCACTCTCCATTATCATTATGAACACAAGAAGCCATATGAGATCCTGCTCCTATTTTTAAATTTAGCGACGCATTACAGTTGCATTAGATAATGTGACATTTCCACTCAAATAAAAAAAGGGTCTACTTTAGTCTGGCTCATTTGCTAAAATTGTCCTGTCAGTCAGAGGGCATATATACTCAAAAGGATGCTATATTGTGTGTCTTAAGTACTCTTCTACTCAAACTCAAAATGAAAAAAATAAAAATCACAGGTGCTTATGCTCCCAAAAGGTAAGATTTGGCTGCTCTTTCTGCTCTCACTTTCTAGTCCTCACAACATGAATGTTCCTTCTTGCCTAGATTAAAAAGGAAGGGGGCCAAATATTGTCCCTTGAAGCCTTAACTGATATTCAGTGTTTTGGAATCTCACATGGAAGAAGGGAAAGAATGCATGTTTCAACTTCATCAAACTTCAAAAGCATCCCAATCCCTAAGTGCTCTAATTAGTAGGCTGTTTTTAAAAGATTAAACTAATAAAGTCCTTCAGGACATTATACTAAACACATCTGTTGTTCTGATCATAATTCAGAAATAATCTCCTCCACCAAAATTGAACTGACTTTTTAAAGATACTTAATATTTCTCAGGACCTGGAACACTCCACTTGGAAGGAGGACATTACAGGAATAAACCACTACTAAATACTACACTTGTCACAGTAATCAACATAAATCTCCATAAATAAACCCTACACTTCTCAAAGCTTGTAGTAAAGAAGGAGTAAACAGAAAACATTCTGTAGCAAATTTATCTTCTTAAAAGAATACATTCTCCATTTCACTGTCTCCTTGCATTTGGGGGTGGTGGGAGAGAGGAATGTGTCCTTTCAGTGACAGAAATCCTTGCAATTGTGTTCAGTGTCTTACCTTCATATTTTGATCCATCTGGATAAAAAAAAGTACCCTTGCCATGCTTTTTGCCTTGAAGATACTCTCCAGTGTAGTAAGCACCATTTTTAAATCTGTATGTCCCCTGAAATATATTTGGTATAAATAAATATGTATGTCAGTTCTCACTTGTGTTTCAGTGGTGCCCAGAACTGCCGAAACATAACCACAAGTGTTGCCTTCTGTCACTGTCTTACCTGTCCACTTCTGAAACTGTGTTCATATTCTCCGTCGTACGTATCGCCATTGGGTAGACGTGCTCTGCCACGGCCATGTCGCTCACCTTCTGGATTGCGTTCGCCATCGTACTCCTGATCCAATGTGGGGGGGAAAATTGTCTAAGAGGGGTAGACCTGACTGAATCTGATCTTATTAGACCAAGGAAAAGAGGTGTAGCTCAAAGCTGCTCCAACTTGGCTTGAATCAGAGACTGTGGGAGCACCTGGCCAACAGCGCTGCTGCTGCTGCAGACACTTTCACCAGATCAGAGGCTTCCCTCCCCCCCTGACACACTACTGGACAGTACGGATGACTTCTCTTCATCCAGTGGAGAAGTCAGGCATGTCCCAACTCATTTAAATGGTACAGCCCCGCTCCCGAACCCCCCTGTGCCCACGGAAGAAGCGCCTGGGGAGCTCTCCCCGGCTCGGCTCGGCCCGCCTGCAATAACTAAGACAAGTAGTAAGACACCGTGACCGGTAACGCTC